CCATACTTGCCCTTTTTTAAATTTTTTTAGTGGATTGACTAGGGTATAAAACTATAAAAGAAGAAACACTTAAACGCTCTTGTGAGAGCTAAGCCCTCCACMCCGATTCTCGCCAATGCAGCTGTATTATACGTTTTATTGTGCGAATTGTAGGTACAGATTTTTTGTATGAAAGTTTTAAATAAAGGGGGAAAAAAAATCTTTATTTTTATCTATGATGATAAAAAAGTACCGGGCGGTGGCGGTGTGATTACRAAATACGGCGTTTTGTTTGAGTTATCATTTTGGACTTTGGCTGWWATGTGTTTATGATAAACGTTACAAAAACCGTACAAATCGCAACGAAATGAGAACATTTCTGATAGCAACGGTATAATAATTTACGTAGAGTTTCGCATCGATTTCTCTCGCGCCACCTAATACGACTCACGAGTTACTTGTCTTACCAGCAGTAAGTTTAGTATTTGCCGCGGCGGAACGGTGAACGAATGAAATGCCGTCCTGCGCCGCGTACTGAAATCCGGTATTACCGTTGCGAGTTTGCGACAGTCTGTCGTCAGTCGTGGTTACTCGTTAGCATTCCGACGCGCAAATAAAACGTCGACGCGGCCACAGGCGTCGCACTCAGTCGCAGTCGATCCGCGGTGCACACGTCTCATTAGCCGTCAGCGAGTCCGTCTCCCGGTCCCCGTACCCGAGAAGAGAATGAGCGAACAAGTAGAAAATAAGCCCGTGAGGGTCTGGTGCGACGGGTGGTGAGTACTACATTTTAGACTTTTCCAGTGTTTCGTTTTGATTTTCCAGAATCCGACTATAATAAATGTCGATAATGATTTTGTTTTCGGTTGCTCTGCCGTCACACAGTTTTGACATGGTGCACTTTGGTCATGCTAACTCGCTGCGACAAGCCAAAGCGTTGGGACATTATCTGGTTGTAGGCATACACACCGATGAAGAAATCACCAAGCACAAAGGTCCACCTGTTTTCACAGAACAAGAGAGGTACCTATCTAGCTAATCAGTCATGTGTCTATTATATTATGTCACTGTTTAATTTGTAAAAGTAATGATTGCCAAGTAGGTCGTGTCAATTTCAAAATGTTATTGCCTACGACTTCTGTTTGTTGAGTTGTTAATTTCATTATAATCTAATAAATTATTTTTATTAAATATGTGAATATGTGATGAATATTAGTAACTAATCTAAACAGTGCATTAAGCCTAAATAACATAGTTTTTATGATGTTTTATGGGATTATTTTTATTGGCACTTGGCAGGTACTAGTTATTTTTTAATGTTACTTATTGAATGACTCATATTAATAACTTAACTAATATATTTTATAATAATTTAGTCAACATTTATTGAGTAGTTTTACTGTAGACCCAGCTTATCTTTTATACCTATCAAATTTAAATTATCTTTACTCCTTTAAATGCAAAACAACATATATCAAACATTAAGGCATACAAAAAAATAAATCACAGACTTAAATCACAAATCAAATAGTAATATTTATGTTATACCTTAAGTGGTAAAAAAGAGAACACTACCTATCTAAAATTGAATAGATAATTTTTAAAAATATGATTTTTGCTTGAATTTAATTAAAAATGCAAAACTAATACCTGTTGGTACCTATTGTATATTTATGTGTTTTTGTGGTAAGAGTTAAGCATACATTTTTGTTTTATTAACAATAACAAAAAACATTTTGAGTATTGCTTATTGTCTTATGTAATATACATCATAAATATATTTATGAAATGCATGTATTTTAATGTTATATTGTCAAAAGAATAAATAAATAATTTTAAATAACTTTTAGTCTTAGATATTCACTAATGACTAAAATCTAACCGATGTCATTTATCAATATTTAAAAATAATATTGTAATTTTTATATCTATTTTATAGTATAATTACTATACCCAATATTTTGATAAACTAATCGTAACTTAATTTGTTGATATTGTTATAATGATATAGGTAGCTATTGTTATTCAACTTATTAACATTGAATAAACAATTAGTCACTGGAAATAATTGTATAATGCCAAAAATAATATGTACTATGAGGTTACAGAATTGTTATTAAAATATGAGTCTCTGAATGGTTTAATATATTAAATAAATTCATCCAATACATGATTATCATTAAATATACTTTTAATTGATCATTTTGTCAGAAATGTACGAAATCATTTAAAATTTGGACTAAAGCCTAGTTTAATCTACAATTAATATTAAAAACTTCTTATTTATGATTAAGATAATCAATCATATAGGTACTTGGCTTACAACAAAAATAAATCTCTATTTTTATTATTCTCTGGTGTCTGGTATAAAAACATTGAAACTTATTAAAATATCATGATTCTTAAAATTATAAGTTTAAATTGCAATATTACCTCCATAGCCAATATTTAAAATAAGAATAAAAACTTTTACTCTTTACAAATATTTATAAATATTATCTTTCTATTAATGATTAATAATCTTTCAAAATAAATTATTAATGTATGGTTAAATTATGTTCAGATGTAAAATGGTGAGAGCGATTAAATGGGTTGATGAAGTAGTAGAAGGTGCTCCCTACGTTACAAATCTTGAAACTTTGGACCAACATAATTGTGACTTTTGTGTTCATGGAGGTAAAAATTTTATTTTATTTTGAAATTATAACTCTTAAATTATTTTGTATGTGTTTTATAGATGATATAACAGTTACAGCAGATGGAGTTGATACTTATCATCTTGTTAAAAAAGCGAACAGATATAAGTATGCCAAATAAATAATATATGTTTAGATAAGTGATTAACACAAAATATGTTTWTTAAAGACTTTAAATAAAAAATAAATGGTAAAATGTTTCTAGGGAAGTAAAACGAACTGAAGGAATTTCAACTACAGATGTAGTTAGCCGTATGTTGTTAATGACAAGACAACATTTTTACAAGGGTGATAAAGAATATGAAGTGGAAAAAGAGCATTCCTCAGTGATGGGTCAAGACAAAGCTGCCAGAAGTCCGTGGACCGGATGTTCACAATTTTTACCTACTACCAATAAAATAATTCAATTCAGTGAAGGCATTGAACCTAAGGTAAAAAAAATTTCCATTACAATAAATACTAATTTATCACTGTTATACATTTCAGCCCACTGATAGAGTAGTATATGTTGCTGGTGCTTTCGATATATTTCATGTTGGTCACTTAGATTTCTTAGAAAAAGCCCATCAGCATGGTAATTTTCTTATCGTGGGCTTACACACTGATCCAGTGGTTAACCAATACAAAGGCTTGAATTATCCAATTATGAATTTACACGAACGAGTCTTAAGTGTTCTTGCCTGCAAAGTAATATTTATCCTTAACTATTTATTAAAACTAGTCTTGTTTTTTAACTTTTAATTTTTCAGTATGTATCTGAAGTTGTTATTGGTGCGCCGTACAGTGTAACGGCTGATTTAATGAAACATTTTCATGTTGATGTTGTATGCCATGGCAAAACACCAGTAAAAATGGACATAAATGGTGAAGACCCATATGCGCTTCCAAAATCTATGAATAAATTTGTGATTGTTGATTCAGAAAATAACATGACAACCGAAAAAATTGTCGAGCGTATTATAATTCATAGGTAAAAAAAAAATAATTACAAATAATACTACGATATTTTACAATATTTTTGAGGCCATACAAGTTTTATATGGTGAAATTAAATTTCTCTGATAATTTCAATAGTGATTAAAAATTTAGTTTTGATTGAGTAGTTAATTATTGTCTCTATATACATAAGGAATTTGGAAAAACGTGGAAACACACAATTACAAAATGTGTTGGTTTACTACTCCTCATTTAAGATTTAACTACATATAAAATAATAACTAATTAATTACACATTTGAGAGTTGATGTATTGCAATACTCAGGAAAATATTCTACCTAAAAATTTTAATTAGACATTCAAAAAACTAAATGATGCTGTTATTTAATGATTAAAAAATAAAAATAAAAATTTTAAAACTTTCCAAGGAAGTTATATTAGAAAGAGCCTTTTATGGTATATTTAACATTATTTAGAAAAAAATATTGCCGACAGAAAACACTATATTAAAAATATGCAAAATAGATTTAATCTTTAACCTATAACCAATTTTTGCATTTTTATATTTATATATTTATGTTGCGAGTTATTGAACCATGTTGCTGCATAAAAACCATATTTTGTTATATATTGTAGATGATGGGTTGAAGACTTCTTATGTTTTTTAGGTCATTACAAATATATTTTAAATGTGATAAATTACTATACTAAATTGTGCAAACAACTATGTTTTAGAAATTTTAGTACACTTCTACTATTTTTTTATGAAAGTTACATTTTTTCCTTAGATATTCAATACAAATATAATATTCTAATATTTGTATTTATCCAATTATTTCATATTCATTTAAAAAATCAAAATAAATAATTAATTGAAATATGATAATTTCTTATACTCGATATTTTCTACTTTAAATTACACTTGATATTATATGGAATCATAATTATTATTTTAAAATTGAAACTAAATTAGCAAGCTTGATCCAATAATATTTATGAAACCAAACTAACTGTGTCCTTGCTCCTGCAAAAAAAAAAACCAGTAAATAATCATGCAATTGAACATTAAAAAAATGTATAATTTATGATGAATTTGATGATTTATTTAGATTGTTTGTTGCCTCAAAATTAAATTTTATAAATATTTATTTTCATTGTGTTAAATTGGGTGTTTATAATTATTAATAATTATTTTACTCGTAGTTTACAGTTAGTGTATATTTTTAATAAAAATAAATATTATAATTGTACTTGTACAATACATCTGTGTGAAATTATGTTTGTTTTCAAGTGATGTGTTCTAATTCATAAGGTTCCAATATTATACATGCATTGATTTTTGTTAATGATTAAACATTGTTTTACTGTTGTAGACTTGAGTTTGAAGCCAGGAATTTCAAAAAAGAAGCTAAGGAATTGGCAATTATCAAACAAATGGAAGACCAATTAGAAAAAATWAAAGTGGGATCATGCTAGTATTTGTTTCAGCTTAGTTATTTATGGATTGTAAAATGTGCTGATAATCACATAATTGATTATTCATCTAAATAATTTTAATATCATGTTACCAATCAATAGATTGATCATTTTCTTCTTTGTGTATCTTTATTTGTTGTTTGATTTTTATTTATTTATTATTATTATTAATGTTAGTGAATTATACAATACTACATATTACAATACCATTAAACTAATTAATGTTTTTATTTTGTAAAGTATTAAGTACGTAAGAACTATTAATTATTATCCATATGAACCTACCTAGTATTTTTACTATATCCACTGGATAAATTTAATTTATTCTTTGCTACATCAATTATTTGATATTATATGGACGGTGATGGACAAAGTTTGGTTAATTTTTTATATTTTTATTAATTTTGTAAATATTTGTTATAAAATGTAGTGCCAAAAATAATAAACAAAAACATTTTGTCAAAAATCACATTACTTGTAGAAACATATCTGTTATTTTAGTTACAATTAAAAATAATTATTATTTGTGTCTTAACTATAAAAAACTACTTAAAAAAATACTTCACAACTAATTACATTTTTAATTACTAGAATGTCTGTAATGGATGATAGTTGCATTTTATTTATGCCCGAAATGTATATAGAGCATAAATATGTTTGTAATTAAATGAACCTATTGTAGTTAACATAAACATTCTTAAGACGTAATTAATAGTTTTCAAATCTTTGTTGTCTATTCTTTTTAACATCGAATTTGATTTCATTTAGAACCATAAATGTTAAGTTTTTATTATTTTCAGTTATTTTAAAGAAGTGTTTATTTATACACTAGAAAAAATTGTTTAGAATTATTTCTGTGTCTCATATTTGTCTTTAAAATGTAATTACATTTCTATTATATAGCTGATTATTTATAGRCTTGTTAAAATATTGTACTTAGATTCCATGATTTAATTTTTATATTTTTAAATTGATTAAACCCTACCTTTTTCATACATGATACATGAATCTATTTATTTAATTTTAATATTGATATAATTCAAGTATAAAGCTTCATCAAAGATATACAATTCGAAAATTTATTTTWAAAATTAATCATAATATGTTATGTACAAACAAAATCAGTGTAATAACTAATCTATGTCATTGTTAATTGTTAAACGTCAGCCAGTGGCCTTAGCTACCGAGGCTTATTCTAATAAAAAAAAATAAAAAATTCAACTATAAAATGTTTAGTAAAACTGTCTACAGTTTTTTTTTTAATTTCATGTCATTTCATTTATTTGATAACTATTGTATTTAAAACAATGACAACTGACAATTTATCAACTATTATTTATTTTGAATTACATAATATTTATGTATATTTTAATAATATACAACTTATCAAAAATTACAATGTACTTGGTATATTTTAATTTGTGGYGTCTATCATTATTGACTTATCTTATATTTTTAATTGAAAAATTTGATTGTATAATGTAACTGATCGGGTGCTGATCCAGGTAATTATTTTAAGAAGTAGTCGTAAATATAGGTAATAAAAACAATCTACTTAGTATTTGCATGTATATATTATTTTTTGTTGTGCACTTTCCAACTGCATAAATTCAAGTTTTATATCCTATGTAAAATTAAATTAACAAATAGAGATAATTTTTTTCAAATTATTATGAATTATTTTCCAAACTTGAAATTTTAGTTGATATAATATGCATTACAAAAAATAATGATTAATAATAATGTTTGATTTTTATAAAATATATGTATGGACGTTTCATATAGGTACCTTACCATTGAAAGTCGTCTCTTTTAATATATTAACTTTTTTTTTTATATATATATCGTGGTTTGTGGATAAGTCGATTATAAATTATAATTGAGTAGATGCATAGGCGTACATAGGGGGGTGCTTGGGGGTGCTTAGCACTCCCAGGTTTAAAATTAGCACCGCATAAACTATTTAAAATATTTATTA